TAATGAAAAAAGTAAATAATGTGCACAAAACAATAAAGAATAAAAAATGAAATAAAATAAATGAATGAATGAATAAAAAATAAAAAATAGTAAAAAATAATAAAAAATAAATGTATATATAATAAAGTAAAATAAAAATAAAAATAAAAGTGAAAATAAAAATAAAAATAAAAATAAAAATAAAAATAAAAATAAATTATTTTTATTTTAATTTTATTTTTATTTTTATTTCTATATTTTTTTATATATTTTTTTATATATATTTTTTTATATTTTTATATTTTTTTTATTATTTTATTTATTTTTATTTTATTTATTTTTATTTTTATATTTTTTTTATTTTTTTTTATTTTTATTTTTATTTTTATTTTTATTTTTATTTTTATTTTTATTTTCACTTTTTATTTTTATTTTTATTTTACTTTATTATATATACATTTATTTTTTATTATTTTTTACTATTTTTTATTTTTTATTCATTCATACCCCATTTGCAATACCTTGGGTTGTCTACTTTTTCAAATGGTATGCCATCATGGGGGTAATTCTCATTCCTGGGCTACCATACGGTCTCAAATGCAACGTAACCAATCTAGCAAAAAAATTAAATGCAAGCCTTATATTTGACTCTCTAACTTTCCAAAACACCATAAAACCTGTACATAGGGGGTACTGTTATACTTGGGAGACTTCACTGAACACAAATATAAGTGTTTCAAAACAGTAAAACATATTACAACAATAATATCATCAGTAAAAGTGCAGTTTGTGTGTGAAAAACGCAAACAAAGGTCACTTTTACTAAATATATCATCGTTGTAATACAATTTATCATTTTGAAACACTAATATTTGTGTTCAGCAAAGTCTCCCGAGTAAAACAGTACCCCCCATGTACAGGTTTTATGGTGTCTTGGAAAGTTACAGGGTTAAATATAGCGCGTGCAAATTTAATTCTCTGCACTTCCTGCCTGGGTTGTCAGGCACGTCAATCAAATTTTAATTAATTAAATCACATAATTATGTTAAAATATTACTTAAGCATACACATAGAATTTATATATATATATACATATATATGTATTTAAATTCTACGTGTATACTTATGTAGTTATTTATGTAATTATATTTATCCATATATAAATATTTGCAGTTATTTGTATTTTATATATAGATAGATATATATAGAATGTCATTCTAAGTGTATTTTGTTACCAATATATATGTATTAATAACAAAATACAGTTAGAATGAGATTACATATGTATATTTAATTTATTTAAATTTAAAAAAAAATATTTTATTTATTTTATTATTTTATTTATTTACTATTGTAATTATACGTATACATATAAATATAAAATATATATATATATATATATATATATGTATTATATATACAATATATATATCATATATATGTAACGTCATTCTAAGCATATTTTAAGATTAATATATGTACTTATATTAACATTAAAATACATTACGTATCACGTTATACATATATAAGATGTATATATATTAGTTATATAATATATATATATTTTATATATATATATATATATATATATATATATATATACTTTAATTTTAACATGTGTAATAATATTTTTTATTATTTTTCCCACCAGCAGGGGGACTGTCTGACATTTCAGATGCCTGATTTCCTCATGCACAGCGTGAGGACGTCCAGCATCAGTCAGGTGACCTTTGGTCACCTAGCCACCCTGAAGTCCCTTTAGTGGCTGTCTGGTAGACAATCACTAGAGGTGGAGTTAACCCCTCAAGGTAATATTACAGTTTCTGTGAAACTGCAATAATTACACTTGCAGGGTTAAAGAGATTGAAACACTGCATCCAGACCACATCCTTGCGCTGATGTGGTCTGGGCTCCTATAATGTCCCTTTAAGCACAAACTCTGACACACACATTCACTGACAGACATACACTGGCAGATACACACACAATGACAGATGTCATTACAGTCAGACACATTTATTTGACACACATTTATTGAAAGACACACATTGGCAGATAAACACTTACAGTCACACACATACACTCAATTACAAACACAGACTCACTGATTTGACACAGACACATTCACTGACACATACACTCATTCATTGACAGACACACACGCACACTGACTGACACACTGACACTCATTGTCAGACACACTGATAGTCACACAATCAGAGACTCTCACTGATTTGACACACACACACACACACACACACACATTAACAGACACATGCATGCACTAACAGACACTCAGACACACACATACACTCACAGGCATACACACACTCAGACACACACACACACACAACTAACCAAACAAGGGAGGGATGAAAATTGGGAGGGAAATATTCATCTCCTGTCATTAATAAAATTAAGATTATAGGTAATCTTAATTTTATTATAGGTATTATAGGTAAAGCTAGCATAATCTACAATTTTATAAAAGTTGCTGTTTTTTTTAAAATAATTCTTTATTTTTTGAGTTCAGGAATGGAGCGTTACATTTCTTTTGTGTACATTGCCATAATACAGTACATAGTCGTCAGGTTAATATAGGCCGTTACGTTTACATTTCACCTCATACAGTGTTATGATACATTACATGCACTCAAGTTACCTTCATACCGTACATTTCACTCTTTTAAAGGTTGTTACTGGGTGTATACTGTGCATAAACATTTGCTGTTTTAACGTGCAGCCAACGATGCTTGATTCGCTGGTAAATAATCCGGGAGATAAATAGCTCAATCCCGAATGGACCCTTCAAATGCGAGATGTGACGATAGATTGATCAATGAAGATCCAAGTCCTTGGAGTTCCTCAAATTACGGAAAAAAAACATGGTTCCTTCAAGACGGTCGATGTACTGTAAAGTCGACATGTTGTCCATTCTCAGCCAGACGCAATAGTTCGAAGAGCATTGGCAGCCTTGGACCTATGAAAGAAACTGCCACCAGGTCCCGACCCTTGATGTGGAAGGCGGCTCCTCCAATCTTTCAAGGGTCACCCATCGATGTGGTCGTGCAAGCAGTTCCCCAACCCCAAGCTTCGCGTCTGAGTCCTGTTGTGGATCAGTGTGGCGAAACCGGCCTCGCCACGTGTCCTTGGAGGGGGCTGCTTGCCCGCCTCTTGCCTTTGGACTATGGACCAGACCTTATGTGAATGTGTTAATCCAGATAGCTATGCCATGGAGCCCATTTGTGTAGTTAAATACTTCGGCTCCATGGCAATTGAACTGTGTGAATAGGATCTGAGCGCTAATCGGTAGTTTTGTGCGCTCAGATCCCAGCTATCTGGGGATATGTGACATGTCTGTGTTTTATGTATAAAATGTGACTTTGTGTATTTTATAATATTTTAATGCTTTGTGCTCACCATGTGCATAATGGAGTCTTGTGTCTGTCCTGGGAGATAATTGAATTACTTCTCAGTTAAATCTCCAGGATAGAAGACTCTGAAACTGGTTTGGGCCGGAAAGCCATGCTTCATTTAGTCACAAAGGACTTTCCCTTAACCTTTGAACCCCTGGTCTGATTCGTGCCATTTTTTAATATGTTGTTCCCCTGAATGGATTGATTATGAAAATGTATGTTTTATGTTTGTGACATGTATATTTTAGAAGTTATAAATATTGTGTAAAAACTGTATTCCTCTGCCGGTGATAATGAGATTACCCATTGTGTTCAGTAATCATATCACAGGCAGAGGGGAGGATTTTGTGTGGGAGTGTCTGGGTGTATTGTACGGATTGATTGGTTGTTTTGTAACGCCCTGTGGGCTGTACTATGTTTGTGGATTGGGAATAAAAGAGACTGTATGTGACAGTACAGGGAGTTCCTGTTTTAACCCTCAAAGTGAAGTGTCGTCTAATTATTGGGGGAAGGATTTATTGTATGCTGTTCCAGTTTGACTGCTAGGAGAGTAAACCTATTCGTATGGTTCCTATTCAACTGTCTACAGCATTCATATGCTTGAGAGAAGGTATATGCTTCTCTGGTTCGGTGATTGTGGTGTCGGCTGCAGTGCTTGGAGTCCTCAGGAAGCGCTAGGAGCATCTTTCAACGGAGGTACCCAGTCGGGGTGCCAGGCGATCCGTTACATTGGTGGCAGCGGTGGGATGGTGTCCTAGTGCGAGGTAAAGCAGCTCAGAGACACAGTTCGTGGATTTACAAATTGAGGGCAACGCTAGTACCCGTACAGCGACCCTATCTACAAAAGAACTAACTTCAGCAGAGCAAGCATGGCGTATGACTACACTCAGGAGGAACTTGACAGAGAGGTTAATGAGGTGCTGTCTACCTTTGGACCCAACCCCCCAGAGAGAGCCGTGCAGCTCGCCAGGAAACTAGTAGGAGAATACCTGCAATCTCTAGTAGATTTGTCCAAAAAGGAGTCCCAGGGAGCCAAAGGTGTCATCCTTCCTCCCCAGCGGCAGTGTGTACCCCAGGGAGCAGAAGCTTCCTCCCCAGCGGCAGTGTGAGTCCCAGGGAGCCAAAGGTGTCGTCCTTCTTCCCCAGCGGCAGTGTGTGTCCCAGGGAGCTGAAGGTGCCGTCCTTCCTCCCCAGCGGCAGTGTGTAACCCAGGGAGCTGAAGGTGTCGTCCTTCCTCCCCAGCGGCAGTGTGTGTCCCAGGGAGCTGAAGGTGCCGTCCTTCCTCCCCAGTGGCAGTGTGTATCCCAGGGAGCTGAAGGTGTCGTCCTTCCTCCACAGCGGCAGTGTGTACCCCAGGGAGCAGAAGGTGCTGTCCTTCCTCCCCAGCGGCAGTGTGTATCCCAGGGAGCTGAAGGTGCCGTCCTTCCTCCCCAGCGGCAGTGTGTACCCCAGGGAGCTGAAGGTGTTGTCCTTCCTCCCCAGCGGCAGTGTGAGTCCCAGGGAGCCAAAGGTGTCATCCTTCCTCCCCAGCGGCAGTGTGTACCCAGGGAGCTGAAGGTGCCGTCCTTCCTCCCCAGCGGCAGTGTGTATCCCAGGGAGCTGAAGGTGCCGTCCTTCCTCCCCAGCGGCAGTGTGTATCCCAGGGAGCCAAAGGTGCCGTCCTTCCTCCCCAGCGGCAGTGTGTACCCCAGGGAGCTGAAGGTGCCGTCCTTCCTCCCCAGCGGCAGTGTGTACCCCAGGAAGCAGAGACCATCTGTCTCGCACCCCAGCCGCAGGACAAAATATTGAAAGGGGAGACAGTTGGTCCCCCTCTCCACCAGCAAAGAGAGTGTCAGGGAGAGGAGCAGGTTACCCCCTCTCCCCAGCGGCAGTCTACAGTTCAGAGAGAGGAGCTTGTTACACCCTCTCTCCAGCGGCAGCCTAACCCACCAAGGGGAGATGTTCAGCCCCACAACTATGCAGATGGGACCGTAGTCTCTGCACTTGCAGCACCAGGGGTAGGGACGGTCAGTCCTGTCCCCCAGCCACAGAGCAGTGTATCCAGAGGGGAGACAGTCGATCTCCCCCTCCCACAACCAGGCTCCAACCAGGCTACTTCAGTGGTAGCGCTGGCACCCGGGCAGAGTACCGCTGGTCTCTGCCCACTCAGCAACCCACCAAGGCAGTCTACCAGCCCACCGCACAGCCGTGGTGAGGCACCTGGACATGGACAAGTTGCTATTTTATCCAGGTGTAGTAACCAGTTATTGTGGGTGGGCTGTATTGCTGTTTGTGCTTCGTGGGTGGGTTGCTGGACTAACCAGATCACTGACCGGCAGGAGGTCAGATACCCTGTTAGTCTGGATGGTAAAGGGGAGAAATATGGCGAAACCGGCCTCGCCACGTGTCCTTGGAGGGGGCTGCTTGCCCGCCTCTTGCCTTTGGACTATGGACCAGACCTTATGTGAATGTGTTAACCCAGATAGCTATGCCATGGAGCCCGTTCGTGTAGTTAAAGACTTCGGCTCCATGGCAATTGAACTGTGTGAATAGGATCTGAGCGCTATTCGGTAGTTTTGTGCGCTCAGATCCCAGCTATCTGGGGATATGTGACATGTCTGTGTTTTATGTATAAAATGTGACTTTGTGTATTTTATAATATTTTAATGCTTTGTGCTGACCATGTGCATAATGGAGTCTTGTGTCTGTCCTGGGAGATAATTGAATTACTTCTCAGTTCAATCTCCAGGATAAAAGACTCTGAAACTGGTTTGGGCCGGAAAGCCATGCTTCATTTAGTCACAAAGGACTTTCCCTTAACTTTTGAACCCCTGGTCTGATTCGTGCCATTTTTTAATATGTTGTTCCCCTGAATGGATTGATTATGAAAATGTATGTTTTATGTTTGTGACATGTATATTTTAGAAGTTATAAATATTGTGTAAAAACTGTATTCCTCTGCCGGTGATAATGAGATTACCCATTGTGTTCAGTAATCATATCACAGGCAGAGGGGAGGATTTTGTGTGGGAGTGTCTGGGTGTATTGTACGGATTGATTGGTTGTTTTGTAACGCCCTGTGGGCTGTACTATGTTTGTGGATTGGGAATAAAAGAGACTGTATGTGACAGTACAGGGAGTTCCTGTTTTAACCCTCAAAGTGAAGTGTCGTCTCATTATTGGGGGAAGGATTTATTGTATGCTGTTCCAGTTTGACTGCTAGGAGAGTAAACCTATTCGTATGGTTCCTATTCAACTGTCTACAGCATTCATATGCTTGAGAGAAGGTATACACTTCTCTGGTTCGGTGATTGTGGTGTCGGCTGCAGTGCTTGGAGTCCTCAGGAAGCGCTAGGAGCATCTTTCAACGGAGGTACCCAGTCGGGGTGCCAGGCGATCCGTTACAATCAGAAATGTTGATCTTTGTTATATTCAGAGGAAGCCCAAATTGTTGTTACAAGTGCACTTGGAGAAGCGAGAATTAGACACCAGACACCTGTTGGTATTCAAAATAAGCCTCTGTCATTTTATTCATCAGCTGGGTTTTATACATTAAAAAGTAAGTGCTTACGTGCAAATACTCTTAGAACAGTAATAGGAAGAGAGTACAGATAAGACATAGGGATGAACGTCATGTACACATAACAAATAAGTTCCAAGGTAAGAAAGAGCAAAACGATTAGAGAAGAGTCATCTTAGGTGGGGGCTCTCTGCTCCCGGAACTAGACATACATGGTCTTAAGTGTTGTTTAAGCATCAAGCATTTCCTGAGTCCAAGTTAGCCAATTTTAATATAGGATATCATTATATGAAACCTATAAGCTTGAGCCTTGGAATCAAGATAAATTCTATCACAGTCCACAACAAAGTCTGTAACAGGACCGAATGGAGCCTTTCCACTCTCTCTCTTGACCTACAAAGTGAGTGGTCTCAATAGAGAATAGATCTACCACGTGGGCTAGTGTGTGGAGGGGAACCTGGTCACACCCTAGATATTATTTTTATTGTTTTCTCTCTGTATTATATATCATTGTTTATTTTTATATTACTACTTATATATTTAATTGTACATATTATCTCTGTGGCGTCAACTTTTTCTACTTCCTCAAAACACAGTAGATAAATAGGCTCTAATACCAAATAGAAAATAGAAAAATCAGAGGAAAACAGCCAGCCAGAATAAGGCTAGAGAGCCCTAATGGAAAAAAATAGATAGGAAAACTAGGTAAAAAATAATGGAATAAACAGGGAGAGAGGAAGACAAAACAAATCCCTAAAGACAATAGGTAAAATTCCACAGCCACCCACAAGAGCAGGAGGCAGTGGTAATCTGACCTATACTGATGTGGAGCAGCAAAGAAAGAGAAAGTGATGTATGGGGCGGGGAGTGTTATTTTACCTAACTTTTTTCTGATTGGTTGATCTTTGTTAATGTGCTGCTGTGGACAATTAAGCAAATATGAAGCCTCCTGTCATGTTATAAAATGTAAGGCTGTAGGAACTAAATGTTGTTTAGATACACATTTTTCATTCAGTCCAAATGTAGTGCATCTTATGTGTTATTGTAACGAATTCATCCGCTCATGGTAATGTGTTTAACGTCATTGATCGTCCTGACAGGAATAGTTGTGCCAGTCTACAGCCATGCGCCCGGATACCTAATAAACCCAGCATGTCTAGGGACACCGGCCGCTGCAGATCTATGCCACTTTATAGCCCTATGACCGTCCACGTTGAGGATGACGTCGGCGTACGCGTGACATCACGCACATGCATGTTTTAGAGTCAAAGGCCGATTACAGCCAATCGGAATAACAGGAGGGTTATTTAAACTTACTTTTACATTCTCTCATTGCCCTGTCGTGATTTCTGCCTGATGGTAATCTGAGAGTATGTTCCTGATCTTGATCTTTTGGTATTTGACTTTGGCTTTTTCTTATTGCTGTGTCTGATTCTCTATCCCTGACCTCGGCAAGTATTCTGACTATTCTTGGATACGTTAAGTCCGGCTATTCGAAGGTCCGGTTAGACGTTATCCTTAGTCCTAGGTGTGATACAATTCTGCGTGCAGTATCAATTAGTAATCCTGACAGTTATAACCTTAGTTAGAAAAATGATGATGATAATGATCAATACAATTCATTAAAAAAAAACACTGTAATACATCTGTTATCACCATTAAATTGCAATATCTATGTAAAGCATAGCAGATTTAAAGAGCCATTGTCTCTGAACAAATTGTTCAAAATCAAAACCTTCTCTAGATCCAGTTAAAAGAGCATGCTAGTCAGCTATGAGTTTTGAAGTTGCTTTAGCTATCCTAGGGACATACTTCTAAATAAGATGAATTTGTTCCAGGGGAATCACAAAGGCCAAAGTGCTTATTATTTTTCAGTAATCACATTATAACAAGATGTCCAAAATTATCTAATCTCTTGTGACCCCTCTTTTTGGATTAAAATAACACAACTACTGTAAGAACACTCCATCTCCTTAAACCCATTCACATTACAAAATTTCTTTGTGATCAGGTTTTTTGAAATAACGACTCAACTTTTCATTTTAAACTATGTATTCATTGGCTAAAATATCTTCCTGAATGCTTGCAATATGCTTACATATTGCCTTATCGCATCCTAAATAATCTGTGAATGAATTTTCAGGTTTCATAGCAAAAGTAAATAGGTAACCTCTGCTTCACATTGCCAGTTGTTCAAAGGTTATGTTCAATTGCTATCATTCTCAAAGTACTGTACAATCAAAAAAGATTGACAAACCAGCAAGATTAGAATTTTGCAATTCTATCATGTGATAGATTCATTGAAAAACATAGAAAAAATAAAATATGTGCTCTGGTGGCAGAAAACCACAACTATTTAGTAGTAATTAAACACTTGACTGCAATGTGACAACGTATGGAGGCAGTGTAAGGGCAATGTAATGATGTAAGGAGAACAATATGACAATATGTTGGAGCAATGTCACAACAAATTGGAGCAGAGTCAGATTTGAGGAAATATTAGTGGCAATGTGACTACATATGGGGGTCAGCATGGGAAGCATTATGGCAATATAGGGCTTACTGTGTATATGTGGTGTATATACATGACATTATAACAATGCATGGTAGGCAATGTAACAATATATAAAGGGCAATATGACAAAATATGGGTGATGGTATGGCAAAATATGGGGCTGGAGTTTTAATACAGTCCTTAGTTGCTATATTGATCTAAACTTTAAGCAATTTGTGGAGGGTATAAATGCAGGACCAGCGCTTCCTATAGGCCAAATAGGCAGCTGACTACGGCACTACTTAATGAAGTGGTCTGGGTGCCAGGTCCCTCTAGTTTTAACCCAGCAGCTGAAAACATAGCAGTTTCAGAGAAACTATGTTTCACTGAGGGTTAATCCAGCCTCTAGTGGCTGTCTCATTGACAGCTGCTAGAGGCGCTTCCGCGATTCTCACTGTGAAAATCACTGGACGTGATGGGCAGTTTGAATGTACGCGCGGCTCTTGCGCATTCGGATCTGACGTCGGCAGGGGGTGGAGAGTTCACCAGCACAGAGGGAGCCCGGCGCTGGAGAAAGGTAAGTGGCTGAAGGGGTTTTGAGGGTGGGGGGGGGACCTAATGACCCTACAGTGCCAGGAAAACAAGTTTGTTTTCCTGGCACTATAGTGGTCCTTTAAGGAAGGCACCAGCACTGGCTTTATGATCATCTGTGCTGCGGACGCTCCATTATCACATTGGATTATTAATTAATTGATCAGAGTCTGCCACTAGGGAGCGCTTACATGGCTGCTGACTAGAGTCCGGTAGAACACTGGTCTGACGGCATCCACCTTAGCCCAGACCCCTCTCCCAGTCATCCAGTGTGGCATCAGCGCAAGGGCACTTAATTTGCTTGCACCCGCCCCTTGTCCTGTATGTGGGGACAAGTAGGCAAGAGGATAGCAGGAGCAGGGTTGTGACAGGAAGTAAAGGCAGCCAGGCGAAGAAGATGGACACCGGAACAGCAATGAAGGTATGATGTGTGTTAGAGGATGTGTGGTAGTCTGCTTTAGTCAGTATGTTTGTGTATGTCAGTCTGTATGGTGTTTGGATGGATTATTGTGTGTGTCTGCAGTGTGTGTGTATGTATAGGTTATTGTGTGTCTGTATG